TTACTTTATGGTGTGGGGTGAACTATTCCTTTAATACACAATGGAGTCCAGCATTTCTCCTTCCCCCCTCTGCTAATGGACTGATACTCAATAGTGACTTTTTATGAGTGGGTGTGGAAGCTTTTGCACTAATAAGACACCCAGCACCATGGTGACAGCAAAGAAGTTGCCTCTGTCCTCCACATGACACAACCATACGCTCACGGCCAGCCATATCATCAGCTCAGTGCTGCTATAGGAGACTATGCAGTAATCACTCAAAATCACTTGTGCATGCAAGGTGTTGATTCCTATTTTGATTGTATAGGAATGGATGCACTGATGTAAAAAATAAAAACAACATATAATAGATACAATAATCTGGTAGATGCCTTTTTTTTTGTTAAGGCCAAAAAACAAAAAGTCTACACTACACAAAATAAATAAATACAATAATTTAATACTTAAAAAAATAATAAATGGGTGTTAATAAAATAAAATAAATTAGTGTTTTAAATGTGAATTTAGGTGTCACAGCATCATAATGTACAGTATGAAAATGGATGTTAGTTTTGAGATTTGATTAAAAAAATTACGTATGACAGTGCTAGTGTTTATACAAATTAACTTTAAGTAAGCATTAAATGATTGTAAAAGTGACCTAAATGTAAAAAATAGAGGAGATAAGCATGCACAATTATTCATCTAATATCCACCGATTGTAATAAAATTAAATATTAATACACTGGCTGATAATGTATATGGTACTGACATACATGGCATCCATAAGATTTATTCCAGAGAAAAACACCCCAGTATTCTCACGTCACCTTTAGAGTTTCAGAATATATGAAACCTCGTCATGAGCTTTTAAATAAGTAACTAATTAGTATACAAAAAATATGAGTAATTATAAACATTGTTGCAAAACTATGAGAAGTATAGCTTTTTATTGTTTTCTGTGACTGAGAGATGCAAGTTTAGTGAAAAAAAAAGCTATTCCAGCGTCTGTTCTGTGTTCCTTGAGTGAAAAATTAGAGGCTGTTTGTTCTTGTTCTCACATCATATTCTGAAGGCATAATACTGTTGTTTCTGAGCCAGTCATTTGTCATCACCGATGAAAATCACTTTTCCACAAGACATCAAAACATTACAAATATTTATCATGTAATTATGCCGACAGTCCTTAGTGACCAAGATGTCCATAAATCACCTCGTCAAACTGCGCGGAACAAGAGCGAGCGTTCAGACCATTCTCAGATGTTCCATGTCATAACAAGCCCTTTTAATTTAATGATGATATAAACAATCAGATAATGTGTCAAGATTATGTCTTAGAAAACGAACACATTTTTCACCATTTAACTAACCCAAGTGTTACTTTTCCAAACCAAAAGCATTACTTTTGCATATCTGGCTGTGGTCTGTTTAAAACACTTCAAAAAGTCCTCTTCTAAAGTTTCAGAAGAGAAATCAACAGTCAATATGAATTCAAATGTGTCTCTTCAAAATCTTCTAAATTCTAAAGTTATCTGAACTATACTATAATGAATCTTTTTATAGCTCTATACTCTTACTCTATGTCAAAAATGGTGTCATTTGCATTTGAGGAGAAATATCGAAACATCGAATTCTCCATTACACAAAGCAACTCAGAATTTTGCCTGGAAGTTTGTCCGATTCAGGCCAAAAATATTCAAAGTGTTGAAAAGTGCTGGAAGTCATTCGACTATAAATATGGTGTGTTTGTCATCTTGAGATACCTCTGGAAACTCAGTAATAAAAGGCAAAAAATCAGAATGATTGTTAATGCTATATCATAAAATTCTCGTAGTTGTTGACTAACTGTTTCTTGCCCTCTTCAAATCCAAGTCTTTTGATTTGAGGTTAACCGAGCCACAGAGAAGGTGGCGTTCTGCTCTCTAACTCTGGGTTTGGACTCTGTCAGGCTGCTGTCTGCTGCTGAAAACCATGCATCTTAAAAAGCTCATATCTGTGACGCCTGCCATCATTACAGTCGGATCTTGCTGTCTGTAATTTGCAAGCATGGCAGTCAGTCAGCTAGTAAAACAGCACAGGGTCATTCCAAACCATCCTACAGCCAACACTGACCCACAAACCTCTACGCTATGTGACACAGACGAGACATCTCTGTATTTATGCACATTGCCGTTGGCTTGGGTATATAATTCCACAAATGCTAAATGCAATTGAATACAATATCATAAAACAGCTCAGAATTGGAATCATTCTTTAAAAGGTGATGCTGCTTAATAAAGCTATTTTCATAATATTCCAGGATGTTCAGTTTTAATCACCACATCAGTATTTTCACCCCTTTGATGCAACTGGTAGGTAGGTAAGATCATACTAGTAATTACACACAACCTTAAAATTAAAGACAACTACTCAAATGTCATTCATTTATGCTGCATGTCTGCCATTATAATAAAGAGCTGTGAAAAACACCGTTTAATGTTCAAAATGTTTCCTTAATTGTATCCTCTCATCTCACTTACACCTGTTTAAGGAGACCTGAGCTTTAAAATATGACCTAAATTAACTTATTTTGATTGAAACGCTATTTTTTATTTTATTTTAATAAGGCAATGACAAATATACATGGATCTGGCCAATTTTTATTCTCTCACAGTTTCTTAACTCAAATTCTTCAGACAAGTAAATCAAATACAGTGATTGTTTAGAAAAAAATATAAAAATGAAATCAAATATTACAACACATACAGCCATGCGTCCCATTCATCTTGCCAAATGTCATTGAAAACAGCCAGACTACCTTCAACGGCACATACTTTCGAGGGTAAATGCCTATTTCACATGAATGTGTTTGGGTTCTTTTTAAGTAACTCCGCGTGTGAGCCCCAGTTACTTAACTATTTGTTGAAAAATAGTATGTGCCGGGAAGTGTTGACTGATCTCAACTTCAAAGTGAACCAGGCTTTAGGGGCAGTTCGCAAACATTCACACTACTATGTTCAGAAGCCCCAGTATTGCTGCTTTATTGTACCTAGTTTGAAAAAAGTAGGAAATCCACCTTTTCACACTCATGTTTGCAGATTATTTCTGGCTGAACTCTTGAAACATCCTTTATGGACTCTTGAGTCCTCTTAGTGAAGCAGATCAAATGGCCTTGACCTGTTGCGAAACTCTTTTGCCATCAAAGACGTAACTGCTTTACTGTATGCAGACTGTGGAGGTTTGGGTTTCTTTTGCACCATTGTGCAGCTTGGGGGCACAGATGTTTGTGGTCTTCAAGCTGTTGACGGTATTGACAAAAGCTGGGAGAAAGACGCTTCAATGCCAGCCGAGGCACATGGATGGGAAAGGGACAATTGCAAACTGTATATCCTGTGCTTTGAAATGCTTACCCCACTGCTTTGTCTCTCTTGACAGCTCCAGGTAAAATACTTAAAGTTTCCAATTACAGCTGAGAGAAATGCAAAAGGAAGCAGCACCCACAAAAAGGACTTTCTGAATGAGGGCGTGTTTTGAGAGCAAGGGTATTTGCTCTTTTGCAGCATTGTGTTCTGTTTGAACTGTTAAAATGACCAGCATTGAAACATAAAAGAGTCTAATAATAATAATTTAACCATGTATAAAGCCAGTAAATTGCTTGAAGTCTGATATATGTGCCATAATGATTCACTGGAAGCACCGGCTACGAGCAGACAGTGCCATTAAACGCTGCCACTATCAGTAAGCATCCTTGAACTTTAAAGAGAAGGTGACTATAGCCAGTCTCCACGTGCTAGACCATATTAAAGCCTCTCACCTTCAAAGAGAGAGACAGACAGAATTCACAAGCATACCTCAAACAGATGCTTGTTTGTAATGTGTGACCGGTCTATATAAATGCTTTTGAAAACAGATCAATCAGACATGCATGGCTTTTTAATCTCAATTAAAATCTTTAATTCAATGCTGGTTAGTTTAGATTACTGCGATTTTATTTTTTTTTGTGACATTGGACTTTCAAGTTTTTCTTGAGTTCTTGTAGAAAAAGCTTCAACAAACATGTTTTTGAAATAATTGAGCATTCACTGATCATTTTGATCTGCTTGTTCTCTTTGATAAATTTGTTTCAACAGGTTTAACACAAAGTGACTTAAGTAATAAAAAGTAAAAATAGCCTCCTAGATGCAATTAAATAATGACCACCCAATGGCTTTGGATTTTTTTTTTTTCCAAGTAGTGGAAAGGTATCTAATGGCTTATTAAATAAGGACACACCTTATTAAATTTCTAGACGTGAATGCATTCCAGCCCTCAGCTCTGACCACACCTGTGTGCTCTTTACATGCAGCGTAAGAAACTAGCACAGTGAAATATATACACTTTCTTAATGCAAGCATGAGTTAAGACATTGTATACTTTTATATCATCTTTATTTAGAATAAAATAGACATTTAAATGAGCTCTATATGCTGTAAAAACCAGATGTATACACATTTCAGACTAGCAAAAGACCGATGCACCTTCTTTCAGGGTTGACAAATATCTGAATTAAGTGCCAACAGCCTTATATTATTTACAGTATAATACAGTAATTTACTGCAAAATTTAAGTTCCGTTGAGAAACAATTATATCTACTCTGCAATGTTGACACAAGAAAATGGAGGAAAAACAGAGTATCCCATTCCAAGTCCTGCTTCCCCTCAATCACTCGTAGTCTCTGATCAAGTCTTTTTTTTCCCCTCGCTTCTCTGGGAGCTTTCTGAAAGAAAATTCCTCGAACATACAGATGTATACACATTTCAGACTAGCAAAAGACCGATGCACCTTCTTTCAGGGTTGACAAAAATATCTGAATTAAGTGCCAACAGCCTTATATTATTTACAGTATAATACAGTAATTTACTGCAAAATTTAAGTTCCGTTGAGAAACAATTATATCTACTCTGCAATGTTGACAAGAAAATGGAGGAAAAACAGAGTATCCCATTCCAAGTCCTGCTTCCCCTCAATCACTCGTAGTCTCTGATCAAGTCTTTTTTCCCCCTCGCTTCTCTGGGAGCTTTCTGAAAGAAAATTCCTCGAACATTCATTCAGTGTCTCTGGCAAGTGTGCAGACTCCGTGATGACTTGCTGCCGTCTCTTTGCGTTCTGCAGGCCAGACCTTCTGCACAATCGCAACGCTGGAATATCTCCAAGCCATGGGTGCCTTTCCTCTTGTGCTTTGTGCAGACCTGGCCTTCTTTTAGGACAGGCTTGCAGATTTTGGACCAAAAGTGACGGGCGCAGCAGAGTCCCTCAGCACAGTCCGATGATCTCAGGCAGTTCTCGCCCTCCAGACCTTTAAAAACAAAACAACACTCATGAATACCATGCACAACTTACATTTTCTGAGGTCTGAGAGACCACTTTAATAGATCAAAATAGCTTTTACATTGACGATTGAGTTGATCTTAAAGCCTGGTCTTGGAAATAAATTTCCTAATATTATATTGCTAACATGCTCCAGTGGTCCTACACATCTTTTACACTCAAGCAATATTACTATATTTAATACCAGTCGCATTCCTGAAAAGTTCATGCTTTGTGATGCAACAGAGGATTTAAGCTTCAAAAATATCAGCCAGCTGAGATGCAGTCAAAATAACATAGAATCATTTGAAGCTATATTCTACACGTACATCATTGGCTATTTTAATCATCGTTTACCTTTTAGCATTTGGTTCTGTGGTGAACCTTCAGTTGCAACTTTTGGTGGCACCACAACAGTTGAGTTTTCTTGGGAGATGGACACAAACTCTTCCATTCCAATCTGGTGGATCAGCCACTTTAATAGATCAAAATAGCTTTTACATTGACGATTGAGTTGATCTTAAAGCCTGGTCTTGGAAATAAATTTCATAATATTATATTGCTAACATGCTCCAGTGGTCCTACACATCTTTTACACTCAAGCAATATTACTATATTTAATACCAGTCGCATTCCTGAAAAGTTCATGCTTTGTGATGCAACAGAGGATTTAAGCTTCAAAAATATCAGCCAGCTGAGATGCAGTCAAAATAACAGAATCATTTGAAGCTATATTCTACACGTACATCATTGGCTATTTTCGGATGCCGCTTTGATGCAGCCCACGAGAATGAGGCAAGCGGTAGAGAACACGGCAATGTGCAGCATCGTCAGGTCTGGTATTCCTTGGAGGACGGAGGATGTATTCCCGAGGTGAGCGGAGCTCTTCTGTAGTTCCTCTTGAGCGCAAGACGCTTCATTTATACGCGCGCGGGGTTGTTTGCGCACCCGCCCCTCGCTGAGAGTAACAAAGGGCTGGATGAAATTTCAAAGCGTTGTGTCATGAGCGGTCTGTCTATCGGTATGTTAGAATGCATGAGCCGTATGTCTTCATGAGCTGCCATCAAACAACCACCACAATACTTGGAAGGGAAAATCAGTCGAGAAATATTGGGTTTCACTAGTTTTCTAGTTTTCTATATTCTGTAGTATAGATTTTAGGAGATGTACATGTAGCTACATTTACCGTCATTTGTATTATTATTCTTAAGCCGGTTAAACTTCAAACTTTAATTGCTTTTGTATGCATATAAAATGTTTATGCAGTTGCAGCCTGCACCGACAAGTTCAACATGCATTTAATTACTAATAAAAAAACCGAGAAACATTTTTGAAGCAATATTTTACCAATATGTTCGGAATTTTGGAACTGGAATATTATTTTATTATTATTAATAATGATGCAATTGAATAATTTGTATATTTTATATACAGTCACATTGATTATTTTTGTATTAAATAGCAAATAATTATTAAATAATTAAAATCACTTCTGGATGTCAGTCATTGGACATTTAAACATTAATATTCATTTTTCATAGCTTCACGTTTTCTTTTCAGAGTGAGTTTGTATATTCCATGTTCGAAATGCAGGAAAGATTTAGCAGAAATTGAGTCATAACCGTGATGGGGGCCCTTTGAAATGCGTTTGATAAAACAAGTGCAGAAGATCAAAGTGAATATGCAAATAAAAAAAAGTGAGACGTTTACCGAATTAATTATCATTCAGTCTGTGCTTTTAAACAAATAGTGAGTGATTAGCAATCTGAGATAAGAATGTGACGCTCTTAGGTGACGTCGTTCTTCTATTGATCTGATTATACAGATTTGAGCAGAACAGAATAAAAGAATTACCTGAATAATCTCGCCTCCGACATTTGAATTCTATCCAAATTAATTGAGCAACCCATGTGTTCATATGCATCTTTATCAAAAGACAGCCTACATTTATTTGTCTATTGACAAATCTACTCCAATCTGAAAAGACTGCTCTAAAATAGTTTCATTAAATGAACAGCAATTGTATCACGGTAATATGACATTAAGGTGGACATAAAACGCGCCAATGATTGAACAATTCCAAAGTGTCCATCTGGCCAATACTCCGGGATAACTCCCAAATCAATGTCTTTGATGTTGTTGTAATAGACGAGCACAGGACAAACGCTCAATACACTTCATTAAACGCGAATTGGCAGGGTTCATCCCCATCCCTTTGTCTATTGGCTTAGTTTTAATTGTACATCCAAAGCCTACAGTGGTGTAAAATGAAGCGTGTGTAAAGGAGCCTTTGATGCGCTCAGATCAAACAGGACTGAAGCCCATGTCTTAATCAGACTTCCACAGCTTTGGCATTTTCGCAAACAGTCCATTTGCTCGGCTTTTAGCGCTTTTTGTAGACATTGTACTCAGCGAATTCATTTAGTGGGATGCCAGGTAATCCTGTTTTAAAATTCCTGAGGACGGCTTATTCAGGTCAGGGCTCCTGAGTGACCATTGAGCACCCTTACCAAAAAAGTAGTATACTTCAAGTTTATCTTATTAAGTATACTTAAGTAAAGTTCAAGTATATATTTTTAAGTATACTTTGTAGCAAGTATACAAATATCAGTGTACTAGTAGTATACTTGTAAGTGTACTATTTCAATACTCCTTGGGACTAAATTGGCCCACTTTCTAGTATATAAAAGTATACTTTAAGTACACAACTAGTTTACAACATTTTTAGCTTGTACTGCAACTATACTAAAAGTGAACGTGTATGAATACTGATAGTTTTCTAATTAAATACTTGTAGTAGCATTTTTAGTACACTTTGAAGTACTACTAGTTTAGTAGTTTTATACTGCAAGTATACTTGTAAGTTTTCTTTAAGTGAACTTTACGTCATACTTTAAGTATACTACTATGTCCCTATTTAGGTATTAATTTGTATATAGTTTGTTATATAAATATCTGAACATACAAAAACATTTTATTCTAGCTTCATGCATTCTTTTTTTAAACACTTGAATGTGGGTAAGTTTTCATAAATAATAATAAAAAAAGAAATAAACAACATTTTGAACTAAAAGCTGAAAAAACGACTATGAATTGGATACAGAATGATAATCAAAACGTAGATAGAGTCGATCAACACCCCAAAGCTTGACAGTCATTATTACCTCTTGATTGGTTGACATTACATCAACGTTACACAGTTTTGATGCTGTTTTATGTCTAATGATCGTGTTAGATTACATGTGGAAGCATCTGTTGTTTCGGTTTCTTCTTCACTTGTGTTTTTTGAAAATTCTGTACAGAAGATGTACCTACAGTATAACAATGAAAACACAGATTCTAGGAACACAAGTATAGCTCAAATATATTTAGACTTTTTCTAAGTATAAGTCAAGTATACTTAAATGTACAGTCATTATTACCTCTTGATTGGTTGACATTACATCAACGTTACACAGTTTTGATGCTGTTTTATGTCTAATGATCGTGTTAGATTACATGTGGAAGCATCTGTTGTTTCGGTTTCTTCTTCACTTGTGTTTTTTGGAAATTCTGTACAGAAGACGTGTACTAGCGCCCCAATGAAAACACGGATTCTAGGAACACAAGTATAGCTCAAATATATTTAGACTTTTTCTAAGTAGGCTATAAGTCAAGTATACTTAAATGTCATTTTAAGTATATTTCTGAGAAGTACAGAAAAAGTAGACTATAAGTGTACTTTCCTATTTTTTTGTTTAAAATAAGTATACTAATAGCACACTTGAATAAATGTATTTTTCGTAAGGGTAGGCCTAAGTATTATTCACTACAGCAATAAAAGTCTTAACTGTGTTTACGTAAAAAAAAAAAAAAAACTGAATTTACAGGAGGCGGCAACAGCAAAATGATAAATGACAACGTGTTTAATAGCCTACAGTTTATAGCTTTAATAATAATCATTAACAAAATAAGTAATATAGTTAATTAGCCTAACTATCCGAAATTTAAAGTTGCCAAGCAGCGTAACTTGTTGCATTAATATACGCGGTTACAGGTGTGCCTTTATATCAGTTTATTGCTTTAAAAACTCTATTAATTTCTGCGAATCGGTTCATTTGAACAGGTCTTTTCAAAGAAGCGGGTCAAAACATCGAATTAGTGATTATTTTACGATATGATGTAATTACCTCATTACTTGACATCCTGATGTGGCATGCATGTTCTAATATGTTCCAATACTATGTAGGGACATGTTAGTTATTAAGCTTTTTTGACTGCGTTTTATTATTAATTACTAACGTAATTAGTTACTTTTTTATGGAGTAATGCAATATTGTAATGCATTACTTTTAAAAGTAACTTTCCCCAACACTGGGTAGGTGTTATGCATTCTGCAGATGGCAAGCAAAGGTAGGTGGTTTATTTTTGTAAGTTGCTGTCCTCCTTTGGTGTGACAGTATCTAAGCAGGGGGTGGTGCATGTCTTCTGATGACTCTCCAAAACAAACTTGTTTCTTTGTTGATGCTTTGTTCGACTTCACGTTTGAAGCTGGATACGGGGTTTACTGTAACTAACTGGTCCAAAAATGTAGTAATAAGTTTAGGAATATAAACAAATATAGTAAAAGTAGATCTTTCTTTACCTTGAGAAAAATCTCTCTTAGGCAAACCTCTCCTTGGTGCATTCTCTAAACGACCATAACCTAATATTCTAGTAAATTTTTAATGTTTTCAGGCAGAGTATTGTGATTACTGTGTCTAACATGACTGATTTTGAACCATTAATTTGAATGTCTTCCCTGCTAGCCATAGTAAATATTTAAATCGTAATATATTGGTTGAAAATCACCTATTAGTTGCCTAGTAGATATACCATTGACTGATGGCTTTAGCTGTGAACTGGAGGTCAAAGATGTCTTCTCTACCCCCTGGGTTTACATCTTTTGATGTCTATGGGCCACAATGTTGGCAATGAAGAGCTACCGAGCTTATGTGTTATCTGTTGGGAAGAGGGGAGGGCGGATGTTTACAGAGCATTATCACCAGCTGATATGAATCAGACCCTTCATAGTACTAACACCTCGAGCTACATCTTGTTTGTAGGACAAGATAGCAAATCTTGTTTGTAGGACTTTCTGAACTTCAGAGTATAAAAATAGGCTAATGAATGCAACATGCAATGAAAACAGCAGGTGCACATTTCAAATACTGAAAGCTTTATGAAGAAATATTACTTTGAAAGATGCTTTTATTGTAAGAAAATGGCATATAAATTTCTGTACCTTTAAAAAAGCCACAACTGATTAAGAAGAGCATTTTGAGGTGTCCGACCTAGTTGTGCAGCATCAAAACAAGCAGGGTGAATTCTGGATGCCATTGTGTTAAGGCACTTTCAATAATGCCAAAAGATATATGGTGAGCACATAATATCCATCTTGAAAAGTAAAGATAACAGAGAACTAAAATAGCTGGTCTGGACTGGTTTTACTCTGACAATAAATCTCTACAGATATCACAAAAATATTACCACTGTATATATATCTATATACATAAATATTTACCCCTGGTCCTACAATAAATAAGATTACATAATTGGTTTTCCAGCACAGCACTTTGTGTTCAAGCTACAGGCAGTCTTCTCGTCATTGTTTCAAGTAGAGTTATATGATTGGTGAAAATGACTGGAGCAAAATATCCTGAAAGTGTGTCTGGTATCAATAATAGAGCTGATTATGTAACTTCATAAACACAATTCCGATTGTACCCACATTTTATTTGGGATGCTGTGATTTGACTGCCCTTCCACTGGGGAAGTACAGTGTGTATTTTAGTAAAAAGCTTGCCCTCTAGTGGTGCACAAACTGTATTGAGGCTGGTTCATTATTTGAGTGGATTTCCATTGTCTTAAAAATAATCACGTTTCCCATTATAAAAACGCAATATATTCATAAGCCTTAAAATAATACCTTTAATACGCATTTAAAGGGGTGGTCCACCCAAAATTGTAAATATTGTCATCATATGCTCACCCTCATGTCGTTCCAAACCTGTATGACTTTTTTCTTCTTCTGTGGAACACAAAATAAGATATTTTGAAGAATGTTGGTAACAGAGCAGTTTCGGTTCCCATTGACTTAATAGAATACAATTTTTCAAAAGATGTTATTTTGGGTTTGAGTTTGGAACAACATGATTCCGACAGATTTTTCATTTTTGGGTGAACTATTCCTTTAAGAGGAATATGCTTAAAAAGACTAAATGGAAATTAATTGAATCATATCAATCAATTCAAATCAATAAATCTCCACCACAGGACCTTTTACCTTTTTAAGTATTTGACTGTGTTTCTGTTCCAAATATATTAGCCATATTCATACACAACTGTCATGCTATCAGAAGTAACCACTAACTAAATTCCATCCTAAAATGCATCTTAGAAACATTATCAAAACTCAATCCAGATCATAGTACTGTCTCGATTTATGATTCTCTTTTTAAGACCCAGACTTAAAACCTGAAACCACTGCTTGTGCAATCAGTCAAACATAAAACAGCAAAGAAAAAAAATTTAAAGGCTCATTTATAAGACATCGGTCCATATCTAAAGTCGTGTTGGAAATATGGTATTTATGATTCTCTTTTTAAGACCCAGACTTAAAACCTGAAACCACTGCTTGTGCAATCAGTCAAACATAAAACAGCAAAGAAAAAAATTTAAAGGCTCATTTATAAGACATCGGTCCATATCTAAAGTCGTGTTGGAAATATGGACTCCAGTTCTTCTGATTAGGACAGTTTACGGTAGTTGTGAGGTGCGGCGGGGAGCTGAGACACCCCCAGTGGCACCGCAGGACAGAAGTATGGGCGAAGGCAACTTGGTGTCACAGAGCTGGGCTAGACGTCTTCCATTCTTCTCTTCGCTGACAAACCACACGAGACACTCCAGGGCAGGGCATGTTACAAGTTTCATTTTTAGAAATCAGTGTCCCAGCCGGAATTGTCATCTGGAGGAGGATCCTCATTGTCCTCAGGAAAGCTATCAAAGTTACTGGTGTCAGTCGGGCTTGCAACCTAATAGGTGCATGAATGGAGGAAATAGGATGTTAGACGGAACAAATATTGAGCAGTAATGTAAATGTTGTAAACACAACTGTAAAAAAGAATAATTTGTGCCTGCATGTTTATTCATTATTCATTGTCTCAAATACCAACCAATATAAATTAGTATTTAATTCATACATATTACATTATAATAAACTTTTATTTTATGGACCATTGTGGAAATATGGCAGCACAATTAATTGAAATAAAAGTGAAATCACAATATCAAAAATAGAATTATCAAATCGGAAAGTTTGCAATTTAATTTTGAAAAAGAAGAAATTAAGGGTTGACACTCCAATTTATCCTACATTTTTCTGACAGCATTTAACTAACAATGTAATTATGTTGAAAATACTTGAATATATGTGACCCTGCTCGTGAAAACCCAGCTAAAGTCATTTTTTTGTGATTTACTCTATTCTACATAAAATCATCCTTCATAAAGATGTAGAACATTCTGTGATAACCTTTATATCTTTAATATTGACTGAGTAAGGCCATGTCAAAGATTGAAATCATAGTGAAATTAATGGTTGAAATCAAACTTTGATGCTTGTTATCTCATAATTAGATTGAGACTTTAGCCTGGATTTCACAGACAGGGTCACATATTTCAAATGCAAATCTCTTAGTTTCTCCTCCTTTCACATATTCAAATTCACACTTATGAATTAAATTGGAGCATGTTTAAAATGGAGATGTATTATACTTACATCAGGAATAATTGGAGGGGTGAGAGTTCCTTTGCGCAGTCCTTCCCAGTTAAAGCCTTCAAACCATCTATGATGGAAAAAGGGAATTAACATATGTCTTATAGAAATGGTAGATTTAAACAATTGTACTTAGAACCGAGATGTTACCAAAATGACAAACAAATCTTTAGGGCTGGGTAAAAAATATCGATAGCTCGATATTAATCGATTCTCATTTTTACGGAACGATATCGATTCTTAAATCCCAAGAATTGATTAGTCTAGCCTGTTTTCAGTTAATGGACGGAACGTTGCCTTCAACGGAATGTGCCATCCAATATATCCACAATAAGCATTGTGCTTTGGTACTTTTAATATGAAACAAAGTCTCAGATTTCAAATGCTGTCCATTGTATTGCAGTATTCAAACAATAAATGCCATTTTGGCACTGTTTAATGTGGAGTGACGGATCGCTGTAGCACCTCAGTTCAACAGACGCAGCAGCACTAGGCACACATAAAAACTATCATCTCCTCCACATTAATACCAGTTTCAGCACAAAATAAACATGACTAAACATCCGAAGGTAAGTTAAAAGAAAGAGTACAACTTTACAATCCGTATCCTGTCTCAAGTAATCGCTCAATCAGTGTTTCAGCCGTGCAATCAAACAATAAATGCCATTTTGGCGCTGTTTAATGTGGAGTGACGGATCGCTTTAGCACCTCAGTTCAACAGACGCAGCAGCACTAGGCACACATAAAAACTATCATCTCCTCCACATTAATACCAGTTTCAGCACAAAATAAACATGACTAAACATCCGAAGGTAAGTTAAAAGAAAGAGTACAACTTTACAAGTAAGTTAAAAGAAAGAGAACACCTTTACAAGCCGTATCCTGTCTCATGTAATCGCTCAATCAGTGTTTCAGCCTCGCAAAGACGTTAATATAACGGCTTGTAAACAATGTCACATAACGTCACATTTACCTTAGAAAAACATATTCGGTGACCATAAACTCATTAGTCAGATAGAAAAATAAACCGTAGAGAGGGGCATTTTGCTAAATACATGCGCCATATAACATAATTCATTATACATTTGACTGTTCTTTAATGTTTAATTTATGTTTTAATAAATTCATCAAGATTTTATGACAGCCACCATTGTTTATATAAATATATATATATATATATAAAAAATTTTTTGAAGTAGAAATATTATGTAATTGTAACTTTATTATTTTAAAAACTTCATTAAGTGAAATTTTAACATCAGTTAATTTTAACCTTTAATATTATAGCAATGTAGTACCAACTGACTCATGTATATTTTACAGCATTAGGTGAGAGATTGTTTTTCCTTGAGAAAATCTGGCATGTACCGTACCTGATATACAGTATATCCAAAATAATCGATATTGAATTGGTAATCAAATCTAAAGCTTGTGAATGAGAATCTAATCGAATCGTGAAATTTGTGTCAAAACCCAGCCCTACAAATCTTGACCCCATGCACAGCGTAATAAGACAAGTTTTTATAGGAATTCCTTGACCTTAATTTTTTATTATAACATTTCAGCACTTTTCCAGAATTCCAGAATCCCCAAAGAACAGTGGTATTACAGTACTCACTTGTGCTTTTGGATATCTTTGACTCCATTTTTCAAGTTTCCTAGCCTCTCAGACGGATTGTCCCTGAGGGAAACGGTATATTTCAAAACCGATTTAATTTATGGAGCTGATATTTCGTAAAAAATGCCTCTGATAAATTTAGATCCAACTAAGTATTTTTATTTATTTTTTTAACCTTAATGTATAAATGTGTGTTACAGGTTAAAACAGCAGAACATTTTAGTTAATTCAAAACTTGGCTGAAATGTATATTAATGTGTCAATACTAAACATTAAATCTGCACAGACTGAACTTCAAGGCTTTTTAAATGTACCCACCTGCATAGTTTTTTTATTAGATTGCCTGCATTTTTGGTGATCTTCTTCGGAAATTCTATCATGTCGATTCCTCTTAAAATTATATTATATGTCTTCATTGGATCCGGTCCTGAGAATGGTGGGCTGAACAAGAAAAGCACATTAGATTTGATAAAACTAGGAGGAGGAGTAATCCTAACACACAAACTGAAAACATTTGAGCTTATCTTGTCAAACCCAATGACAGGAAACATGTTTTACCTTCCAGTCAAGAGTTCATACATAAGAATTCCCAATGACCAGTAGTCTGCTGAGATGTCATGTCCTTTATTCAGTATGATCTCTGGGGCTACATACTCCGGCGTTCCACAGAAAGTCCATGTTTTCTTCCCAAATCCAATCTTTTTAGCAAAGCCAAAGTCCACCTACAAGAGACAAACTGCATCTTCATACCAAAACTGCATTTGTGGCTTTTAGTCCATGTTCTTTAGCTTTAAACATAGTATTGTATTCCAAAGTTGACAATAAACAAGGTCATTTTGGGTAAATGGGCCAAAAATATTGATGACTCGTGTCGCACTAAGGGCTGTATGCACATTGCTGTCCAATCAGATGCACTCTAGATGGGAAGTCCCGCCCTTTGATACCAACTAACAACAAAATTCACCAGCCTCACAATGTGTCATCTCCTATTAGAAAGTGCTTGAGATGTATACTCACAAGCTTGGCATACCCTCTGTGATCCAGAATGAGATTTTCTGGCTTTAAATCACGGTAAATTATTCCCTTGGAATGCAGGTATGCGAAGGCTTCAACCACACAGGCTGTGTAAAACCGTGTAGTGGAGTCTTCAAAGGATCCTCTGTAAATAAAAAAAGAAAACCACTGGTGTTTTACTGAGTTTCCATTATATAGAGTGATTAGCATCGGCCATCATCACAAGAACAATTTGGCTACCTGTCTCTAAGTATGGTCCAAAGCTCTCCGCCTAGACAGGCCTCCATCAACATGTACAGATATTTACTGTCTTTGAAAGTCCTGTACAACCTAAGGGAACACAACCGCACAATTTTGTCCATCAATGTATTTTTTTTTTGCCTTGATATTTTTTAGGATATGACCTCTATTGATGCTCTCGGGAGGTTTTAGCACCTACCTCACAATGAAGTCTGAATGAGCCTCCTGCATGATCTGTTTCTCAGAGCGGATGTGCTCCTGTTGCCGCGTGTCCACGATGTGACGCTTCTTCAGAATCTTCATTGCAAATGTTTTGATCTCTTCACTCTTGAGCTGCACCTGTGGACACCGAAGGCACACAAAAAATGAGCACTGAGAAAGTGCTAATAAGCTCATTTTCAATGGAAAGTAGCTGTAAAAACAAGTGCTAGTGCTCCTTATTATAGCACTTCAGTCAGGGTCTATTACTGTGTTAAGGGTCCTCAAAATAGATCAAGCAGGAATTCTTCACATTGCGTCTCTCTGTGAAGGCACTTGCATGTTCATTCGATCTTGTAGCTATCTAGCAAATGGATAGCACTACAGGCATATATCACAGCCCCGGTGAAAGGACACTTGTTTTTACTATGTTGCCGCAGTGCCAGAAATAGGTGAGTGGAAAGGGGAATCCTCTACCCAGATCACTGGGCTTTCCTTTACAACAGAATCTGATCCGCAATGCGGATCTCTGCTCTCCTCTCTACGTCAAAGTTTCCATCATCTTCTTTCAACATATATGGTCCTGTGGAAAATGTGTGTGTGTGTGTGTGTGCGCCTGTCTGTGTGTGTGTCTCTCTGTCTGTCTAGCCGACTGTCTTTCTGTGTCATTAACTGTCTACCGACCGTCCTAGCTAGCTACCCATCTATCCATCCGTCTGTCCTAAATTACTTATGGTTCGGTTGTATCACGTTTTTGGTATGGTTCGGTATGTGCTGTGTTTAGGGAAAACAGGGCTATACTGTCAAATAAAAATAAAGAAAATAAGAACAAATAATTAATTACAAGCAACCGCATAAATAAATACAATAGATCAAAGATACAAATATAATAAACAGTGCTTTTCAGGTTTTTTAGGTAGGTCTAACATTAGTTTTTAGGTACAGAAATTGAATAAAGTAATCAAATGTAAAATAACATTGCATATTTGACTGTATAAATTAAAGATTAATCCTTATTAAAGTTACAAAAGCTATTCAATCAAGAGCAGTGAGTGATTTCCTTCTCTTTTGTTGTTTGATTAACATTAAAAACTTTAAGATAATGCATGGATCTGGTACTGTACTGTTATACTGTACGTTAAACTGAATATGTCTGCTAGGAAACTCACCAAGACAGGCATGTTAACATAATTTTTGTGTGAATTTATCCATTCAAGTACAAGTCTTGAAAGAGAACTCAGTATTTGTGCGCTCTCTGAGATGTGGGTTTGGCGCTTCGGATGCGCGCGCACACAGATCTTCTCACAGCATGTGCAAGTTCTCATTTGCGTATTCTGGCTCTTTAATGTTTAAACTGGCGAGGCGTTTAGTTTAAAACGATAGCAACATGTGCTGTTCAGGTCTCACCTGCGCATGCACGCTATCAACACCCGGGTGATGACGGCATAAATGACTGGTCATATTCAAGCATACGGCACTTGCAGTGGGTTTGGCGCTTCGGATGCGCGCGCATACAGATCTTCTCACAGCATGTGCAAGTTCTCATTTGCGTATTCTGGCTCTTTAATGTTTAAACTGGCGAGGCGTTTAGTTTAAACCGATAGCAACATGTGCTGTTCAGGTCTCACCTGCGCATGCACGCTATCAACACCCGGGTGATGACGGCATAAATGACTGGTCATATTCAAGCATACGGCACTCGCACTGAACAAAGTTTACAAAGAGTGATTGGTTTGTCCACTTTTTTTTTTTTTCACTGTTGTTGTAATGTATTGGGAAGCCAGAATGCATATCCATATCTACTCATTAAACTAGTCTTGTTGAACTTTGAATGGCAGTAAGTCAGATGTCTGCCCTATTAGCTCTGTTGTGGAACGTTACCCTGAATAGTCACAGCATTCCCAGACCTGATCTGTCCTTCGGCACAGTAGAACACATGAGAGCTGCTGTGTGTCAAGCACTGTGTAAATTAGATTAGTAAAATATATTCTTATCATTGGTTGACATAAGTTTTTGTATTGAGGTGTTGCATGACACCAGAATATCATAAAGCAACAACTCCATATGCATCCACTGTTTTTTTTCTGAAGAGGTATTCAATCCTGCTCCTGGAGGGCCAACACCCTTGCCTGGAAGTTTTTTGTGAGTTTGAAGACCTTGATTAGCTGGTTCAGGTGTGTTTAATTGGGGTTGGAGCTAAACTCTGCAGGACAGTGGCCCTTCAAGAACAAGTTTGGTCAACCCTGTCTTACTGCAATCACATTTTAGTGCTTGATTATAGAGCTGATGAATTTGAATGTTTTTTTACTTATTCATTTTCTTGCAAACATATCATGAAATGCATGCATATCCTACCAGCTCAACTCTTCCAAATCCTCCAACTCCCAAGGTGTCGATGATGTTGAAGTCCACCAGCTTCAGGTTGGAGAAGAAGGCATTCTCTGCCTCGTATCTGCATTTTTTGAAGTGGAAAAAGGGAAACTTCTAGTCACAGCATTCCCAGACCTGATCTGTCCTTCGGCACAGTAGAACACATGAGAGCTGCTCATGTGTCCAGCACTGTGTAAATTAGATTAGTAAAATATATTCTTATCATTGGTTGACATAAGTTTTTGTATTGAGGTGTTGCATGACACCAGAATATCATAAAGCAACAACTCCATATGCATCCACTGTTTTTTTTCTGAAGAGGTGTTCAATCCTGCTCCTGGAGGGCCAACACCCTTGTCTGGAAGTTTTTTGTGAGTTTGAAGACCTTGATTAGCTGGTTCAGGTGTGTTTAATTGGGGTTGGAGCTAAACTCTGCAGGACAGTGGCCCTTCAAGAACAAGTTTGGTCAACCCTGTCTTACTGCAATCACATTTTAGTGCTTGACTCATTTTCATTTTCTTGCAAACATATCATGAAATGCATGCATATCCTACCAGCTCAACTCTTCCAAATCCTCCAACTCCCAAGGTGTCGATGATGTTGAAGTCCACCAGCTTCAGGTTGGAGAAGAAGGCATTCTCTGCCTCGTATCTGCATTTTTTGAAGTGGAAAAAGGGAAACTTCTTAGAGGTTTGGATAGAGTATGTAATAGGGAATGTTGGAGCAGGAATTGGGGCAGGAAGGCTGTTTATTCGCTCCCTCTCTTTTCTCTCCTTTACCGGGATAGGAAGTAGCTCACGCATTCTGACCTCCTTGAGGCTTGACCAAACCAAATACTGTGAAACAATTAAATGTACAATTCTCAAAACGGCTAGCAATATCGCAAAGACGATCTTGCAATATCTGACTTGCAATATGCAGTACAGCCCTCGCCTCAAGAGCACGTATGGCAGAATAATAACAACAGTCTTTGCTCAAATGTGGAGCTAAGGCGCCATTTCCAGGTTACATTTCGAGATTCGGGATGCAGCGCAGATCGAAGAACAGAGCGATCCAGATTGGTGGAGTCTCTCCGCATCAATATCGGTTTGTGAAAGCTCTTCTGGACACAAAGTTTGGATGCAGAAATACCCAAAGTTACCACAGTCATCAGCAGAGACAGTACTAAATGTCGAACAAAGGTACTCGCTGAAAATCTTACAAAGCAAGAGGTTTTGTCCTTGCAGCAGCAGGAGTGCACGTTGAGGGACAGTACGCTTTACTGGTGAGACTAGTGCTGTCCTTGTGACTAAGTCTCAGTCCCTGTGCTTAAACTGAGCTTGACTGTACTCCCTGTGTGAGAGTCTCTACTAATACTGCCTTGCCTGATCCAAGTTTATTTTTAGCATGTGAACTTGGCTTACGGTTCTCCTAGTCAGAAAAGGTGTCCCTGCTCTACCCTCACACCACCATCTCTTTTTAAAGTTCAAATGTAACTTGAGAAGGACATTGGCGCTGCATAATTATGAGGCCTTTTGCATGCTTTGGAGTTGAGAGAATGAACCTTTCAATTAACACTTATAATAACAAAATGAGCTCGTCCTGGAAATAAGTGTGATATCTAGGCCTTCTGACAGGAAGAACCTGGAAGACTGGAAGAAATGTATCTTTAGCTAGATCGGAAGATAGGATTTCCATGTTGATGCTGCCAGCTGTGGAGATCAGGAATTGGGGAACTTGCTTAGTAACTGTACTTCATTACTATACTTAAATAATAGTTTTTATGATTGTATACTTTGCTCGAGTACTTCTGAAGCTGACGCTGCAAGGGGAAAAACATTTGTGTTACCCCTTAAAATGTCAAAAACCAGCTACATATTTTACAGCACATGCATTTTGACATGCTTGGGTCACAAGCACGTTGTTGACCTAAATAAAAATGTTTCATTTATAACCACCAATTTATCAGTCAAATGTCAAATAACTATAAAACCTGACACTGATTAATTTAATTTATAATATAAGCTTTGGTATAACTCTAGTGTGTCCTGGAGACTTACATAGTCATGACAAATGCCATTTGAATTGTATTAACATTTCCTTTTTTAATAACTTCGCACATTTGAATTAAGACCATTATTGATTTAATCTGAAACATAAATATTACTTATTTAATAACTAAAATGTTTTACCTAAAGTTTAATTTCACTCAAGGTTTATTTATTTATTCAGCTAGATACATCCTTTAGATTGTATCTGAGTTTGACATGGCACAGGGATAGTTCACCCCAAAATGTTTTCTGAAAAATTAAATCATTGGGATCCCATGTTGTTTTAGATTGATTCTTTGATTGCATTTGTTTTCATTTCTTCAATATCTTTTGTTTTCCACAGAAGAAAGATACATGCAGGTACACAGTAATACAGGTTCAGAATGAGTAAATTCATTTTAATTTTTGGATGAACTATCAATTTATAACATACTTTGTCCACACATCTGAGTATTTCTACTTGTCATTCACAAGACAGTAAAATGCCTTGAGTCAAAGTCTCAGTACAAGCTCAGAATCCCTCATGTCACTTTAGAAGCTGGAAAACACCCTGAAAGACCACCACTGCTATTTTACACGGCAAGGACACAGTATCTGCAGTAAGTTTCCATATTTAACCAAGACTCCAGGCAGGGGGACAGCTGTCCTCTCCAACCTCTCCAGGCAATGAGAGAACTCCGACCAATGCAGTTGTCCGCATAAGAAGAACACGCCACATAGTGACATGGCTGTTTCTGCCAAGGTCGACAGTCATTTGGAAAGAAGAGAATATTCCGGTACATTGCCCCATCTATATCAGCAAACGTGTCTAAAGCTTCCAGTTTCAGTATTTTGGGAATAACCAGAACTTGATTCCCAGCTCCACATAGGGGGCTTTCACACTGGAGGAACATTTTCAGTATTCACTTTTTGGCATGTTTGCACCGCAGGAACTAGGAACAATTTTAGTTACAGGAACGCCTTTTGGGGGAACTAAATTAGCTCCTACTTCAGAGTAGGGTCCAACCCAGCACAATAGGAACCACCAGTGACATAAGGGGCTTTCGCACCAGGTAGTTATAGGAACTAGACACCAGGGCGTTCACCCGAGAACTAAATGTTCTCCTGGGGCCGTTTTCCTGGTTGCATTAGTACCACCAATGGGAACTCTGAAGTGATGTAAGCTGGCCAACAGCGACATCATTTAAATGCGGCATTCAACAACATCGTTGAACATTGACAGCAGTTGGAAGAGGGAGGAAAGAGAACAGCCCATTCTTCTGCATCGTTCCATCTATCACAGTTTTCCATGTTTGTGGAGCTAGGTCATGGAATAAGTACATGTAAACTGTGTGTTTACATGTTTTTTTTTAAAATTCCAGTGTATCAAATGGCATGCTTTCAGCCAATAAGTACCCAGTGTGAAAGCCCCTATGAACTACAAATCAACTCTGGGACTAAGAGTTCTACTTTGATAAAATAAATTACGTTGGACATTATGGAACATGTTTACTGGGGCACAATCTACTACAGGTAACTGGTACAATCAGCAGCTTTGTAGTTAAAGGAACAGTTCACCCAAAATGGTAAATTCCCGCAAGGATTTTTTTTATCTTTGGAAAACAAATGGTGCACAAGAATGAAATTCATGAGTCATACATGCACGTCTGAGGTTCTGTTTACCATTATTTTATGTGCCACATGTGTGCGTGTCTATCAATGTTAATATGTGAATAAAAGCCTAAGGTCTGTTAATCATTTAAAGTGATCACATCTCTTCAGAAGATATGGATTAAAGGAGTCGTTCACTTCCGGAATGAAAATTATGTCATCATTAAATCCAAATAAATGACTATTCAAATTAGTTCCTGAATTTTACTAACTTTTTACATACACAATCTGATTTTATTCTATGAATCAGCCATTTTTGCACAGGTGTATCCAAGCTAATGTGTTCTCCATTGTAATGGTTACAAGCGTAACCCCTCAAGTGTTAGAGCTCCATAAGTGGGCAGAGGGGAGTGGGCTGGATTTCACATAAGCTGTTGACAGGTGATATGTCACAGAGGTGTGAGCTCTGAGAAAAGCGACTGATGACTGACATCACATGGTCGACTAGAGTGATTTTCCACTGCCTTAGCTGAAAGCATGAGTTAGGGTGTGTTATGAAAACCCATATGTACTTCATGGGACAGTAAACAAGGCCAAGATAGTGGCTTGAGAGGCTTTGATAAGACAATCTGAAAAAGCCAGAACTGGTTTACAGTACTTGGATCTTAAAACCATTGGTGGAAAAAACAAACATTTGATGTAGGCTCCATTCCAAACCTAGTGAGCAGTCTTGCATCCTAACTGAAATCGATTTGACTGAGCTGGTATGCATGCACTACATTGGCAACCTTGGATGTCAAGCAACTGATTTAATTTGAGTTTGAGATTAGCTGGTTACTAAGCTAATGACAGAACTTTAATAAGCCAATAAATCTATATGAATTGATTGAACAATTTAGCATTTGTTAATACTTATATTGTTTTAATTACTTAATCATTAATTAATTAAATAATGTCAGTGATAATATTCAGTACTAAATATATTTATCAATCATGTCTTTGTAGAAGACTTGGATTAAACTGCTCAGTTCATATGGATTCATTTTACATGTCTTTAATTACATTTTGAAGCTTGAAATTGTTGATTACATAGACTGTCAATTGATGGGCAAAAAAAAAATAATATAAAAGAATATAAAAAATATTTAATTAAAAATCATTTCAATAAAAAAAAAAGTGATCCAAAAATGAACAAAAGGTCTTAAAAGTCAAACGTGTGTGTCAAGCAACTGATTTTAATTGAGTTTGTAGATCTTGCTAAGCTAATGATAATACAAAAAATTAAATAAAATAATATTTAATTGATTAATCACACAGACTCATAGAAATAGTAAGTACAATTTTAATTATATGAATTAATTTAATAAATTGTTTATTTATTATTTAAATGCTATATTTTAAATAACTTTTAATTACATACTTGTTTAAATACCATACTTACAGTGCTATTAATATATTTCATATATATTCATCAACTCAAATAGTGCTCAAAATCATCATCTTAACAAATCAGCTCCACATTTCATTGTGAGGAGTCTTTTATCCTCAGATTTCCTCACAATGCATTATGTAGGGGATACTTTCTTAGAATTAGCCAAAAGAAGGCAGCACAATTAAAAACTGCTTTGAGGCAAGACCTATAGTAAAAGAAGATATTTTGACATAACAGAAGATAATTTGAAAGTCCAAACAACATTGGACCCAAATGATTTCCATTGTATGGTCAAAAACACATAGCCGTTTGTGACATCTTTTGTGGTTTGCAAAAGTAAGAACATTTTACAGGTTTAGAACGATCTATTTAAAATGCTGCCTATCTAGCATGAAGCCCAGAGTTTTCGGGAGGAATGTTTTATACCTTGACTGGCCTCCAGTCTCTCGTAAAAAGCTGAAGAGCAGTCACATTCCTCCATGCAGAAGTGGCAGCCTTTCAACGTATCCACTACTGCTGTTACAGCTGTGAAAATAAGCCCCAAGTCCGAACTGTAGTCGGACCGCGGGCAGTTTCCTCAGGGGTCAGTGGTTAGCTAA